TATTCCAACCTCTAGTATCGATACTTTTGGTAACACTTTACTTGAAGGGGTGTGCATAAGACTGACATGACACCTTCATAATCATGAAATGACACATGTCATGAATATGAAGGAGGTTTTATGCATGTTTATGACAACTGTCATTAAGTGTCATTCGCTCAATTAACATTTTTAATGCAAATATGACATTGTTTCAGATGTCTTGACATAAACCAATACATCATAACCTGTCAGTGTCTTTGGTAATGACAACTTGACAACATAAATTGTCATAAATATGTCATAAACATGACATAGAAGATTAATTATCAAACTTAAGAAACCACTTAGCTTTATGGGTTGACATTACATTAAACTGTCATGTGGTTGGTTTTGACATTGGCTTTCATGAGGCCATTATAACTGTGTTATGAATATTTTTCTTGACCTCAACTACAGTGGTACAAATTGAATTTGTCGTTTCAATGTTATAATGGCCTCATGACAGCCAATGACAAAACCAACCACATGACAGTTTAATGTAATGTTAACCTAAGCTAAGTGGTTTCTTACGTTTGATAACTAATCTGCTATGTCATATTTATGACAGGTTGTGTTGTCTTAGTAATGTCAAGTTGTCATGACAAAGACACTGACAGATTATGTATTGGTTTATGTCAAGTTGTCATAAAGACATCTCAAACAATGTCATATTTGCATTAAAATGTCATAATTGAGCGAATGACACTTAATGACAGTTGTCATAAACATGCATAAAACCTCCTTCATATTCATGACGTGTGTCAAGTCATGATTATGAAGGTGTCATGTCAGTCTTATGCACTCCCCTTCAAGTAAAGTGTTACCATACTTTTTTTAAAATCATGACGTTAACATTTCATCAAATCCCTCTGTGTGTCAAACGATCTCCTCAGTTCCTGACTCGCTTTCTACAAAGCTAACGGTTGCCCGTCAAATACATTCATACAGCCAATGTCTCAGTAGTAAGCGGGAGTGAGCATGGCGGAAAATATAAGGGCGCCTCCAGCTACCAGTGCCAACCAGTGCACTTTGGTTTTAAAATAAGTCAGGGAGTAATGAATTAGATAAAACAAAATGCTGTTTGTAAGCTTTGCCAGGCTACACTAAAATATTCAGGAAACAACCAACTTGTGTTATCACTTAAGACACCACACAGATGGAATGTCATCGGAACTATAATTTGTATCTATGGGTTTTCAACCATTTTCCTAAAATCGTCAACAAATGCCTATAAGTGATGCAGCGTTTTCTGTTGATGCGTAAACTTCATTAAAAGTACACTATGTAACTATTGGCCTTGTAGCAGTAAAAACAACAAAAACTGCATGCATTCTGCACAAGAACATTGTTTTGGTCATGCTTCAGCTCATAAAACATTCACTACTAGGCTTAAGAGATAACCAGTTTAGATGAAAAGGATCTCCAGCTGACTAGCTGAAGATATTACTGCAGCTGTACCCATTAATAGACACGGCTAAATATTGAATGGTCAAGCGAAAAGCAGGAAACACATTGCTAGAGCAAACTAGATGTGTGCTTCCTGCCGAGAAAGTCAAAACCTCCATGTCGGGATCTAACTATCTTTCCGGATATCCACACTGAGGTGTCGAGATCCTGGACCAAGCCTGTTTCTGCCCTTGTCTTGAGTCCCTCACTATCAAACTATTCATCGATTGTGGGACTAAATGAACACAGGAATGGAGAGATGCCCAGGATTTAAGAGACACTTGCCAATTATCTCTCTCCTGCGTCAGCATCGGTCCTTAAAGGTTCCAACGCCACCCACCAATACATCCAAAAATAAGTACATCCTGAATTTTTGGTTTCTGGCCAGAATCTCCATTCAGGTGCATCACTAGCTTTAAGTATTATTTTTTGCACTTGGTCTGATCCTACCTGCCATGCTTGCTTAGCTTCCCATTTTGCCAATGTCGTGTTTGGCCTCGATAATTGCTACCTGCAGCAATGTTTATTACTGTTATTAATATTACTATTATTAATATTTTCCAGTATGATTTCTAAGAACTAACTGGAACCAATCAAAGTCGATTGATGAAGTCATTCTTTACAGATAATTTTGAAATTAATTAAATTCCCTGAATTTCCAAGGTTGTCCATGACTGTAGGAACCCTGATTGGCTTAATTAACTTTTCCTTAATTGGACAGTGGGGCAATTTCAGCAAAAAAGAAAAGAAAAAAGGAGAGCAATTTTATCCACAGGAGCTCATAGCAATCTGAGTTTATTTTTTAGTGCCTGAGTGTCCCTGAAGTGTCAGTCTGAGTTTGTGGCTGGGCAGTGTGTGAGTGATTTGTTTGGATGAGGTCACTCTCTTCTCTCTGGAGTCTGCCAAAGCCAACAGCTCCTATCCAAATATCTGCAGTGTTTCAGCGCAGATGAAGTCATCAGAACACTGATGACTCAACCACAGGCTGGGCAAGGGGCGCATACTATAATCAAACACACATTCCCATGAGCAGAGGATACCCATATATTAGCACCCAATAACAAATCCACAAGTTTTACAAAATGTTTTCCAAACCACACACACACACACACGCATGCACACACAACAGACTCCAATTACTTGCCACCGTCGCCTTTGGCTTTTGGCTTGTTTAGTTGGGGACACTTATAAAGCGCTATATAAATAAAGGTGACTTGACTCTCCCGCAATAAGAAAGGAGGACCTTTCCTGGATCTTGGAGGGTGACCATAACACTAGTTTTATTTTATCCATTGGGAATTGATTGGTTTTTATATCAGCGGTTCTCAACTATAGGCCTCATTAAACTTTCAAGGGGGACCTCAAGACTTTCTTTTTCTTTGAAGAACCATGTTCCCATGACCTAGGAAAAAATTAGGTATCCTGATTTTAAAAGTGTGATTTCTAAACAAGGAAAAGTCATGTAAATAAATAAAATCTTAAAACTCAATGGGCATTTTTTCCATAATGAAAATACATTTTTTCAAGTTAAAAAATATTTTAGTAAAAAAAAAAAAAAAAAAAAAAAAATTATCATCCAGTAAATCATGAAATCATTGGGCCTTTGAATATTGTTGTGGATAATGGGGATCAAAAAGCTCAAGAATAATTGCTCAACATGACAGGAAATTGGACGAGAGGTGCTGACAATTAAGTGTGCATAGTAACGGAAATTTCAGAGGTGAAGCAACTGGTTGAGAGTTTCCACGGGGAGCATTTTTCCATTCATGATAAAATCAGGAACACTTAGTAAATAGAGTCAATTTTTATTAAATGTTGACCGACTGCACAGTGCAAATGAAATAATCACATCTTGGCATGATTATGCAAATCTTCTCTGCCTTGCAAATTATAAAATAAATGTTTATAGTTAATCGAGGCAAACTGTTGAAAACATGGATAACGAAAGGGATCCTGGGATTAATCCTGATTGAAAAATCAGTCATCCTCATGGTCTCGCCCATCATAAATAAGAATGATCAATGACACGCTGACTTTCACACAGCCGATGATAGTGTGATGAATGTAAACATCCCTGCTGTGTTATTTTCATCCAGACTGATGATTTATAATTTGTCCTTGCTGATATTGGACAGTCCCCTAATCAACAAATATATGCAGATGAGAGGATCAAGAAAGAGAGAGAGCAGATTTAAACATGTGCTACTGTACATTTAAGACTTCAATATTTAAATGACCTCAGTAATGATCGGCTAATATATTCACATGTAGAAACAGAAAGAAAGAAAGAAAGAAAGAAAGAAAGAAAGAAAGAAGACATCAACAGTCATGAGGGTCTGGGTGCCTCATTCTGTATGGTTGTAACCAATCTCTCAACGACCCAGAAGGCCACACTGCACAGCGAGCACAGTTCATGCCCTCCCACCACACAAACATACAATATTAAAGAGAGGGTTCGACCTGCCACACACAGACACATCACATATTGAGCCGACACACTGACTCTGACAGCACCAGAATTTAAAATAAATAAATAAAATAATAAAAAAACCTCCCTGCTTGTTTCTCCTCCAGTCTTACAGAAAATTGAGCTCAAAACTCAATTTCCTTCATATGTGATCTCCTGGTACTCTTTATTACTATTCTTACTACTCTTTAGAGACGACATGGTGTATTAAATAAATAAATAATATTAATAAATACAATCAGAAAATTCGTTTGAACTTTAATTTATTTTGTAGTCTTTCTTTCTTATTCCTCTGCTTAGTGTTTACATTTAGCTACTAAAAGGGCCCCTACTAGAGATGCGTGGTTGGCGGTTATAGCCGCGGACTCGGATGACGTGACGGAAAAAAATATTTTAATTAAATTCGGGCGGGTGGCGGGCGGTTTCTAGTCTCGCGGCTGTCATCAGCAGCGCCTTGTATCAGCGGATGGCGGGCGGGTGCGGTTTTGAAAATTGGTCAAAAACGTTGGTGCGGATGGATGGCGGACGGATGATGAGTTTTGTGATGCGGTTGCGGATGAAATAATAGCCCATCCGCGCATCTCTAGCCCCTACCATGCTCATTTACAGGTAAATCATTTTGTTCAGGGGGTCTACTAGAATTTCTACATGATTTATTGTTTATCCTTCCCCGCTGTGTTGTGACAGGTCTCCCGCTTAGAGCGTTCTGAAGGAAGGATAGGCTACACAAATTTACTATCATTTATTCTTTATATATGGAAAACTCTGGGTGCTCCAGATGGCCAATACGCCCCTGGGCCCCTTTGTAACTCTGCAGATTGTTTACATGCACAAACAGCTATATTACACACTAAAGGAAAAGTGAAATCAAAAAGAGCATAATAAGTAAAATCAAATCAGAAAATAAAAACCAGATACATATGTATGTGTATATATTTAGCTACTTAAAATACACATATTTGCCCATATTCACCATACGCTTTTACTGCAACACGTTATGAATCATTCACATTGCATTCAAGAGTGCAGCTCAGCTGGTCTCAGATCAGTTTTTGCACGGACTCACCAATCGTTTCAGCACGCGGAGCAGTAATTTCTGCTGTCTGGGCTCAGTGTGCATCTGCAGTGCGTGTGCCAGGCTGAGCATCTCCTCCGACTGCAGGCGCTCCACACCCTCTCCTCCATACAGCTGAGCCAGCAGAGACACACTGTGACTGGCCTCCTCATACACCTCACTGTCATTACACGCCAGCTATGGGAGACAAACACAGATATCTCAACACTTACCCAGGAACGATTCACATAAAAGCACCAAAACATTTCTGGGAATAAATGTTGTGATGTTGTTTCCATGTTATCAAATGATGCATCAATTTTTTGGTCATGACAGTGCAAGAGTCAAGCACTCTGTAAAGTCTCCTCCAGCACATCCCAGAAACTTTCAATGAATGTATGGTTTGGACTCATGCTCCCTCCCAACCATTCTTTCACAATTTGAGCCTAATGAATCTTGACATTGTCATCCTGGAATTTGTCTTCCTACATGGTTGTTTAAGAAATGAAAAGCTACACACTCCATAAATTAGGGTTAGAAGAACTGTTGCCAAATGAATAACATGCTAGAAACATTATAATCACTGCAATAATGATCCAATGATAGACTAATAAAATAAAAGCATTTGCCTATTTAAATCCAAACAGAGACCTTTTCTTCTGGCCGGGCAGTGTATATTACATACAAACTATTTTTACATTGAAAAAATTACACACTGGTCTAAATAGCAGAGTTAATAAGAAAATCTTTTCAAATGCTCAATATACAGTACCTGGACCTATAGCAGTTCGAAAGAACAGGCTGAATTATTGAACAGCTGAGCTGCAGCCAAACTCTCCCTTCAAGCAAATGTTTCTCAGACTTTTATATTGCTTTTTTGTTGCTTTTGGGAAATATCAAACTATATCCTTCATCAGTCTCAGCACTACAAATCTGTTTGTCCATGTACGGTCAATCATAGTGGTCTAGAGAATCTGTCTTATATATTTTTTTTTAGAACTTCTCATTAGGTGTTTCTCTCAGACTTTTAGGGACACATGATATGAAAAACAGGATTTTTTTCTAGCTTTTTTGAAATTTACATTTGGCAGATACTTTTATCCAAAGTGATTGCATTTAAGGTAAACATTTAATAAGTGTAAGAGTATTCCCTGGTAATCAAACCCATGAACCAAGAGTTTGATGAATAATGCAGGCATAGACAAGATCATACACATAAGGGACAACTCTGCTACAAATGTCGTTCAGAAATCATGGCTTTGACATTCGTATTCAACAACTTGGTTTCATAGAATTCTTAAGGGTACAACAAAAAAGTTCTGTAATCCAAAATTCTGAATTTCCAGAAACAAGAAATCTGTCTCTCCACACTGAAAATGGAGTGATCATGCCACAAAACTCAAACATCTGTGATCCTTAAAGGGATAGTTCACGCAAAAATAAAAGATTTGTCATTATCCATTCACCCTTATGTTGTTTCAAACCTGTATAACCTTATGTGGAACATAAGACGATATTAGGCAGAATGTTATGAACTCACAGCCTGTCACCATTCTCTTTCATTGCATACTGTTTTTCATAAAATGACAGTTAACTCTTTTCCCCACCATTGACAGAATTTTCCGGCAATCTATGTTATAAGGTAGGGGGCGCTATTACGCATCTTCTGAAAGAGAAACAAATCTCTGGGCGCAACATTTGTCAGTAGAATTTTTTTAAATGAATAAAATGTCACCACATTTTTGTTTTGTATTGCTGTTTAATACACAGTTAAGACCAATATTGTATTGGATTTATGACTAAAAAGACATTACAAAGTCTGTGTTAACACCTTTTGCAAGAATTATTTGAAAAGTGTTTATTATTAAAATGATCTCATTATTTGTCAATGAAATGGACTCCACGGGACGATCACAAATAGTTATAACATAAAATATTATACATATTATTAATTATAGTAAACATAACATTTTAGAATATTATACACATTTTTGTAATGAGTTCCAGAAGCTTTAAATATCTTGATGAGTGATTGATAAGATGAATCGTATCAATATTGCCCTGTCTTGTCCTGTAACACCTTCTCGAGATGTAATTTTGTTTAATTTTCACACAATTTCCATTCACTGCGCTGCACAGGAAGTTGCAGTGGCAATGCAATACAGAAGCGATCGTGCATTAGAATCAAGATCAACAATTTCTTTATGACTACCATCCCTACCCCCAAACCGGCTGGAATTGTGATCAACTGAACACCACGCAGAAAAATATATATTGGCAGAGATATAATCTCTGGGTAGGAGAGCTGAAAAGTTATGTTCTCATCCTCAGAGATTGTAGAGACAGCAGCTATAGGGCTTAACACGTCCATCAGGGGAGCAGCAGAGTATGAGTTCTCAACCCAGACCACAACAATCCCCGCTCAGCCTAAGACTGAGATAAAGACAAAAAGCGACACACAAGGGCTGTGGGGATTTTCTCTGCCGCTCATTTCGGCCCTCAAAGCCCTGTGTGGTCGGCTCAGGGATTCTAGCCTCTTTTGGCGCTGATCTGTTGCTGCCCTCTGCCATAAAGGCATAATCCCAAGAGACTCTGGGGCAAGGGCCAGCCGCGCCTAATCCCGCCCCTCTTTATGATGTCGCCGGCCACTCCAGAATGGAGTGCGGTGCTTTAGGAGGCCACACAATACCCCCAAAGACCGCCGCCCCCTCCCCGGCCCACAGAGAGGCTGACCGGAGGGAGATCCCCTGGCGCTGAAAGGCCTTTGGTGTGCGTCCACGGGCTCCGCGGCTCCGGTATTGTTCACATGCCAACGCGGAGTCAGAGCAGAACAAGAGTTAACACCTGCTTAGACGGCCTCCCAAATCCACCCTGTTTACTTAGCAGGGCTTGTAGATGCATCGGGGAAATCAGGCCGAGGAGTCTAATGGGACTGTGGGCTGAAAAGCACACAGGAATCAGGGAGATTAGGGAGTGTTAATGCCACTGTGGGCTGTGAATGGATGATTGGAGGAAAGAAAGAAAGAATGAGAAGAGGAGGAGAACCCGAAGCCTATGGGGACGTGTAACGCGCAGGCCTCTCATGACCTCCGCATGTACTCAGGCACAAAACTGGGCCTGTGCATTTAAAGCGATCGATATTTCCCACCGCCTCCTTTGGAAGAAACAACACTGCAAATTACATTTTTTCAAACCATGTGTTGCTTCAAACTGTGAACTCAGTCGCTGCGTAAACAGACTGCAGGGAAGATCATGTGTGATTGTTTGTGGGCAAACTCGGAATGTTTACCACCAAAAATGAAAAGCGTATGGGAGGAACACATGAAAAGGCTTTTATACTGAGTGGAGACTTTGAGGTGACACATTTCCCTTTCGGATGAACTGTTTAAAATGCAGTATGTCCCTAGCACACATAGACAATCTGTTCACCTGATCCTTGGGCACCATTTGCCCTTGAAAACATTCTTACACAGTGCCCCATCCTGGTGCCCTGCTTCCACTTATATGCATATGTATACATGCGCACACACACACGCACACACACACACACACAGACACACACACACACGTTTTATGGGGTCATTCCCAAGACAAAATTATTTTCCTACTGTGCACACACATGGGCAGGGCTTACAAATTAATTTTGTTTTAATGTTTCTGTTCATGCGTTCCTTCTGTAACATTATCCATCCGAAAACAGTTTGATTAGAAAAAAAAAATACTAGTTAATATTGAAAAAAAAAAAGATTTATTTTTATTTTTTGCCTATACTTTATACCAGAACTTTATACAAAGAGCTAGTGACTAAACCTTATAACTTGAGGGGATCCTCAAAATCAGCAACGCCTGATACAGTAGCTCCACCCGCCTCAATCGTGAATGAAGTCCTGCACTCATTTTTGACACCATCTCTGCTTGTTTGCAGCTCAAGGGTAAATACAAATCTGGTTCTTTGAATAAGTACAGCGTTTTCTTTATTCAAAACACGATGTGTGTAAAGGCTAATGTTTTATGTATTTAAGGAGCGGAGAAGAGTGTCTTAGTCTGGTATAGTCATAGCCAATACAGTGTGTGTCTTTTGTAACGCAAGCTTTTTGCCAAATCTAAACGACAGTAAAAACTGAGCAACCGCATAGCTACAATAATCTTTGTCACATGTAAGTTGATAAAAACTTAATGCGAAGCACTTACTGCGTCAGATGCGACCGTTCTAATGACGGGCAAAACTCAAATCTCCGACATTCGCTGGTAAAAAAAACCTCATAACTTAATTTGAGCTTGATTTTGGAAAAATATGAATGATATAACAACACACGCAAGTGTATGACCATACATAAAACCACAGTACTAACTTTGACAACAAGGTGTTTAATCATTGAAAATACAAGTTTTTTGAAAAACTAATGCCATCACATTGTCTTGAGACTTACATTGGATGAATTGACAGCTGAGCGCAGACATTTCACTCATGTTGGATGGGTCAACGTCACATTTGCATAGGCCATATTTGAATGCATGATTGGTTTAGTGCCAAATTAAAATCTTAAACAGAACGATAAAATAACGTTATTAACCGGGTAATGATATTTTCAAATAAGCGTTTCTGTTCAGAGCGTTTAAACTTGATTTTGTTTTCGTTTTTGTTCTTGTAAAAATTGTTTGTTTTCGGTTTTTGCTTTCACAGTTTCCACATTTCATGTGGACATTCCATGGACATATAGCCTGGATGCCAGCCGAACTTAGCTCCGCCCACAACAGTTGAGGGTGGGAAGTTCGGTCTGGACTTGATCCGTTGTGAAGTATGCCCGAACCAAAGCTGTTCGGACCAATCAAATTGTCAGGGCGGGCTTTATACGATGATGGACAGATGATCAACCGTAACGTAATCATCCACGTCAAAGAGCGCTTGGGTTGAATTCGTTTACAACAAAATTTGTAATAGAATAGAATTTATTATGATTCAGCCATCGCGTCTGTTATAGAAGATCTACACAGCGCATTCATTTTAAAAGAGGAACAGAGAACCGCGATCAAGGCATTTGTCGAACGGAAAGATGTTTTTGCTGTCCTTCCTACGGGATTCGGCCTATCCAATTCCCCTTTGGCTAAGCCCCGCCCCCCTTAGTTACTGTTGCTACGTCCGACAAACAAACTTAATCTGGGCTCTGGTATCAACATGGCTTATGCTGTGACAGCTC